GCACGGACAGGTGGGCTCAGCGGATCCACGAGATAACTGGCTTTGCGCACGGTGGCCTTCCCATTACCTACCTTGGTGCCCTTTTATATAAGGGCCACCTCACGAGAGCGCTCTTTGTAGACATCAGGCAGAGAATGATCGACAATCGACATTATTTCTGGTTGGTCGCATAGACATCTTTCTTTCAGTAGTCGGCTTGCGCTGATCAAGAGCAACCTTAGCTCCCTTCCGATTCATTTACTTATGGTCCTCGACCCCCCTAGGTATACTCTTGACGAGATTGAATAGATAATGGCTCGTTATTTCAGGGGCTACGAGGACGGCTCCGAGAGGGGGAGACGTACCCACCGGGTGAGTTGGGACTCTATATGCCGGCCTTTCTCTGAGGGTGGCCTTGCCATCTGCTGCCTCAGGGATATTGTAACTGCCTTCTCATATAATTTGTGGTGGCGCTTCAGGGAAGGAAAGTCGCTTTGGGCCAGTACCTTTGCGCAAGTACTGCTCTAGATGCGCCAACCACCCTTGTTGGGTGACGGCGGTTGATCATGATAGCAGACAGTGGCGGCGCCTTACTAGGGCCGGTAAGCGCGCCCAGGATCGCATCTTTTGGGTTTTGGTTGAGGGCGACATTAGTTTCTGGGATAAGTGGTGGTTAGGTGATAGGCCGTTGTCTAGAGATAGACTGGTGACTCATTCCCCATACCTGCTTGTGAGCGACCTTTGGACGGACGGGTCGTGGGATAAGGGGAAGCTTGATAGAGAGCTGAGATCCGGGGCAGTTTTTAGCGAGCATTTATTAGATCAGATCCAGCAGATACACATCTTGGGGGACAGTTCAGATGGCATGAGGTAGAGACTTACATCATCGGGTGTGTTTTCTACTACCTCGGCTTGGGAGCAGATCAGGCTGAGAGATCGGCCTAATCTTCTCTTCGGTGCCATCTGGAGCGATCTTTTCACCCGTACCCTTTCGGTATTCCTTTGGCGCCTCTTCTTGCACCAGATACCCGTGGACATTGTTTTACATGCGATGGGGTTCTCCTTCCCCTCCCGATGTGTGTGTTGTTCTGAGACAGGACGCCATGAGACCGAGGCCTTTACCCATATTTTTCTAGAGAGTGAGATTGTGAGGAGAGTGTGGGAGCACTTTGCCACTTGGACACATATATCCCTACCCTCCACAGACAGTTTCTTTGAGCTCCTAAGTTTTTTCTCACAGATCACACACTTTAGACACGTGGGCTTCCTCATTCCTTGTCCGATCCTTTAGTTCACCTTTACGGAAAGGAATAGTGCGAATCATAGGGATATTACTTTTTTGCTTTCTCACATTTTTTTGAAGGTAGAGAGACATCTTTCACTCCTCACATCTTTGGGCAGGCTCACTGCCTGAGACTGGACAGGCTTCACGCCACCACACCGCTACATAGTGGCTTCCCCTGTGCCTGTTCGGCCCCCTCTGCCCAGAGCTGTTGTTTGGCTTCGACCCGATTCTCCTTGGGTCAAGTTGAACACTGATGGTTCTTTCGATCGCCAAACCGAAGTTACCGGAGGAGGAGATTTGATCCGGGACTACAGCGGCGCCCTTATCACCGCCTTCCACACGTCCCTTCAGGCCTCCTCAAGCTACAACGCAGAGATTCAGGCACTACAGATTGGCCTTCAGATTTCTGCCCACCTCTCTAGTCATATTTTGATCGAGCTGGATGTTGCGGCTGTCGTCACCATCCTGACTTCGGGCCACCAGGGCTCATGGTAGATTCAGCACGCGCTTATGCGCATTAGAGCTCTTTTGCGGTCTGTCCATCACAGGATTACACACATTTTCTGTGAGGGGAACAGACCTGCTGACTACCTTGCCAGCCTTGGCGCCACCATACCTGACCTACACACGTTTCAGACCGACACTGCTCCACTTCGCCTTCGCACGCTGGTACGGATGGACCAACTTGGATATCCATCTTTTTGTTTTTAGTAGATTAGATTTTGTTCTAATTAGATCATACATTTATTCCGGGCACCTGTTAGCCAGATGACAGACCTTGTATTTTTTTCTTCGTCTGTTGTTGTTTCTTGTTTGACTGTTTGTTTTTGTTTCTTTTTTGACTGTGAGACTATGTTAACTGTAGTTGTTTGATATTTGGGCCCGTTTTGGGGTCTTGATCTATGTACAGGTTGGGGATCCAGCCCAATCCTCCGCCCTTCGGGGCGTTGTTTTCAAAATAAAATAAAATAAAAAACCTAGCAACTAAATACAACTAACCTAGCAACTAGACATAACTAACTTAACAACAACAGAGAACTAACCTTGCAACTTTAGGCAACTAACTTAGAACAACATAAAACTAACATTGCAACATGATACAACTAACCTTGCAATTATTGCAATTATTAAGTGGCTTATGTTTCTTATTATATTTTGCAGCAGGTACTACACATGAGGAATGCCACTTTCAATAGGTGATATCACAAAATTCAACGAAGTATTGGATACCAATTGTCAAAGAAGATATAAAACCTAAAGTTGGCATGATCTTTGGAACTCTTGAAATTGGATATGCAGTAGATGAAAACAATCAATTAAGCCGGATCTTTTGGGCAGACCAGATTTCAAGAAAAATTTACCTCATGTTTGGAGATGTTGTTTCATTTGATGCAACCTACAACACTAACAGGTACACAATCATTTCCTTTGATTTGACACTAATTTATATGTAATGGATTTTTGTAGTAGTGTGTGAATTAAACTAACCTTGCAACAAAAAATAACTAACCTAGCAACAGAAGACTACTAATCTAGCAACAAAAGACACCTAACCTAACAACTAGATAAAACTATCCTTGCAACTAGTGAAAACTAAACTTGCAACTTAGATAGAACTAACCTAGCAACAACAGACAACTAACCTAGCAACATCAAAGGAACCTAGCAACTAAATGCTCTCACCTCTCTCTTACTTTCTCTCTCTAACCCTATCCTCCCCCACCCACCTTCCTCCCCCCTTTCATTTCCGACCACCTCCTCGGCCTAGCCTCTGCCGACCGTCGCCACCGCCGGCAGCCTCCCTGGCCGCCGGGACTATCCTCTATCCCTTACCCCACTCCTACCATGTCTTCTCTATAGCACCACCCTCACTCCCTTTGTCGTCTCTCCCTTCCTCCTCAGTCCAACCGTCTCCCCCGGCCGCCTCCCTGCCGGAGTTGCAGGCTTTACTATCACAACCTGAGTTTCAACTCAAGATCCTCAACCTCTTCAATGGTAAATATAACCCAAAACAGTATATTAGCCTGTCTGATCCCATTCGGTTCTTTGCCATCGCACTGTTAACAGAGCTTGACCTACCCTCTCCTTCCAGATGGTGGTGTGGTGAAGGGAAACCCCCAGCTGAGATCAGACGCGGAAACTCATGTCCTAAACCCTCTCCCAGCTGAGATTCCAAGGCCCAATTTCCCAACTGCGATCCCAAGGCCCAATTCTTCTACACTCCTAGACAGTCACCATCCCTTTGGGCCTGCTATCAATTTTGAGCCCAACTTCGTATACATCACCTATTCAGACCTCAACTCATATTAAATCTCTTGGGCCAGCCTATATTACCAAGCCTTAACATATCCCTACCTCAGCCCATCAACTTGGTCCACCTGCTGCAGCTACCAGGCCGGTTGCCTCCTTGGCTCGACCTCCAACGACTGTCGCTATCCTTCTGGGCACTCTT